GGAGGAGGAGGGAGGAGAAGGGAGGATGAAGGAGGTGGAGAGAGGAGGAAGGAGGAGGAGGAGGGAGGAGGAGGAAGGACGAAGGAGGAGGGAGGAGGAAGAGGAAGGAGGAGACGGGAGGAGGAAGGAGGAGACGGGAGGAGGAAGGAGGAGAAGGGTGGAGAATGGAGGAGGAAGGAGGAGGAGGGAGAAAATCCCACCACCAGTAAGTTGTTACAGCCTCGCCAAAGCACCCCCCCCCCCCCCCCAAAACGCGGCCGAGGGGCTGGACTCCCCACGTCTTTGGCGTAGGGCAGTCATTCGTCCTTCGTTGCCGAAGTTGACGATGATATCCTGCGGCTCATCTGCTGGGGACGCGCATGTGGCTGCGCAATCCGATCTTGGATGTACAATGTCTTGGGCAGTGGTGACACTGGAATGTCGGGGTTGGGGTGGTCGGATTATGTCTCCTCTCTCTTCTGATAGTCAGCCAGGGCGGGTAACTGTCAGCTTACGTCTCGGCGTATACGGGAGACAGACAATAGAGATCAAGGCGTCCGTCGCTTGCGATCGGATCGGAGGAACAGCGCGCTGTCGCCAGAGAGCAATCAAGACGCTGGTGTATCATCATCATCATCATTGCCTTTCTCACCCCGGATCAGGATATAGGCCACGAACAAACACGTCCCACCTTTCCTATCCTGGGCTAGTCGCTTGATAATGTCACTCCCTGTCTTCCCACTTTTCTGTACATCCATCTTCCGTGACTCTCTCCAGGTTCCACATGGTATTCCCCTTGATGCACCTGTGTACACAAATCGAGATGCCAAGACATCCTAAGCCCCCATAGAGAGATAGATAGATAGACAGATAGATAGACAGATAGATAGATAGACAGATAGATATATATTGTTTTAGTTAAGTGTTTTACGGCACTTGTACAACAATAAGGTCATATGAGCGCCAGAAGATTAGAGGTGTTACAAGAGAGTAACAAACACAAAAAAGAAGGGGAGATAAGGACGATAGATGTTTGACAGGAAAGAAGAAGCAAACCACACCAGAGCACCCGCCAACCACCCACAAAAATATATATATTACCTTTCATTAATCCCTGTGGAGACATTTGAGTTATAATGGTAAATATACATACATAAATATATAATTGAACACACAAATATACATATTATACAAAGAATACCATATACACACAATTATTACACCAATGCACAACAGTTTGACAAAACATCCCATTGTTGGCCGCCACTATGCCGCTTCCTGTTTTTTTTTTCTTGGACGTTGAATAGCAAAGAAGAAGCAAATCACCCCTGAGCACCCTCCAACCACCCACTTGTTTTCCACCGTCAGCCAAGGCCAGGCGGGTGAGATTTATTATGTCCTGTCTGTTATATCCTTGGAGTAACTACTCCAAGGTTATATCGGTCGAGAGGCCCAGAGAGGGCCTGAGATCCCTGTCGAGTGCGTGCGTACATGCACGTGTGTGTGTGTGTGTGTGTGTGTGT